GGGCACGGGACAGAAGGGCTGCCTCCGCCACGAGCCCCCGGAGGACTGGTGGGGCTCCCGGCGCCCAGCGGCTGGTCCAGGATGTGGGAGCGCGCGAGGGAAGACGGAGGGAGACGACAGGAAGGAATCCAGAAAGCCCAGCCCTGTGCCGCGTGTCCGCTCGCCTGCTCCCCTCCCCCGCTCCGCCGCTCGCACACCCAAATCAAACACGCACGTAAGTTCCTGCCTGCCGAAGGGTCTGCTTTCTGGGGAGCCAGCCACAGGCAGGAAAAAAAAAAAAGTAAAAGTGAAAAAGTAACGTAACAACTGGAGAGAAGGAACTACAGGAAAAACTAAAACGAAAACCCATAAAAACTAACATCTCCAAAAAGATTTAAAAAGACACAGTGCATCTGTGACACGGGAATATGATGCCACTAAAATCAGAATAATTATTTAGGGGTGATATTTCATCACTGTAGGCTCAGCGACCGTAACACACGTCCCACTCTCGTGGGGGTGATGAGTGAGGGAAGCGGTGGAGGCTGGGGGCGAGGGGAGGGGGGAGATAGGAAATCTGTATTTTCCACTCAACTTTTCTGCAAGGAATCTAAAGCTATTCTTTAAAAAGTCAATTTAGAAAAAAAAATAATCAAAAAAAGGAACAAAGAGGTCCTTAAAAATTAAAATAGAAATTAAAAATGAAGATAGAAAAATCCACTTGAAAAGTTAGTCAAGTTGCTATGCCCCATAACCTAAAACAACACAAAAGACACAAAATAGGAGCTCAAGAGAGAACCCGAGCTGGGTGGGTAGCTCAGCTGGTTAGAGCGCCGTCCCCACGCCATGGTTGTGGGTTCGATCCCCAGTCGGGGCACATGCAAGTACCACCCAATGATGTATCAATAAGTGGAACAACAAAGTGATCTCTTCCCCGTCCCTCCTGCTCTCCCCCCTTCCTTTTTCTCTCTCAAATCAATAAATTTTTAAAAAGAGAGAGAGAACCGGTTCAGGCAGCTGACCAGCAAATAAAAACCATTATCAAAAGAGAGCAGAGGAAAATGGCAGAAGATAAATTAAAGAATTAACTCAAAAACCTTTCCCATCCTGAAAGGATCTGGGTTTCCGTTTACAGGGGCCCCGGAGGTACCCGGAGCCATAGATGCTGACCCCGCCCATGCTCAGCTTCAAGGGGCTTGCAGACAAAGACAAAGAGAATCTCCTACAAGCTCCCAGACATGAAAAAGAGAAAACGGGGAAAGCAAACAAACAGAAACACTGGGAAGTTCTCACACACACAAAATCAAGACTCGGACTCGCTTCACGCTCAGCCCCCTTCTGCCCACAGACAATGGGGGCCTTCAAATTTTCGAGGGAAAGCTGCGTCCAACTTCGAAGTGTGTTCTCAGACAAACGATTAGCTGTGAGCGCAGACCAAGGACATTTTCAGACATGCAGGGCCTCAGAAAATCTGCACGCACCTCTTTTTTGGAAGTT